CCCCCTCCCCCTCCTCCCCCACCACTCGCACCCGCACCGGCACTCCACCCCCACCCCGACGCCGCCGCACTCGGCCTCCACCCGCTCCCCTTCCTCCCAACCTGCCCCGGCGCAGGCCCCACAATCTCGTCGTCGTCCGCGGCGAGCGCGCTGCTGCCCAGCACGACGCCGCGCGGGCTCGGGCTCCGGCTCGTGGCCGACACGCTCGTGCTCGCCGTCCCGCTCCGGTTTTTGAAGGGGCTGTCGGAGCCGGGGGCCGTTTTGAACGGGCTGGCGTTGGCGTTGATGTCGGACGCGGTGGAGGTGGATTTGAAGGGCGAGTCGGAGGCTTTGAACGGGCTGTGCAGCTCGGCTTTGTTCGCGCCGTTGAACACCTCGCCGCTCCCGAACCCAGAGCCCGAAGCGCCGAAGCTCCCCGGCCCGCCAAAGCTCAAGCTGCCCCCGAACGGGCTCCCAGGCGGCCCGAACGGGCTGCTCGCCGGCAGACTCGTCCCCGGCGCGCCAACTCCAACACCGACGCCCACACCGAAGCCCGCGTTGCTCCTCGCGGCGGGCCGACCGATAGGCGCGGGCCGCCCGCCGCCGATAGGGCCCACGTCGTGAGCAGCTCCGACACGTCCTGCGCCGATGGGACCCGGACCGACGTCGTGCCGCCCGGCGCCGATGGGCGCGGGCGTGTGCGCGTCGTTTACGGATGCGCGGCGGTGTGCGCCTATGGGGGCCGGAGGGGGCGATGTCGGCACCGGGCCGAACCCGTTCACGTTCGAGCTGGAGGACGCGGTGGGTAGAAGTGAATCGGGGCGCGAGGACGTGGCGGAGAGCAGGCCGTTGGGCAGGCTGGAGGGGAGGAGCCCGTTGGACGTGTTCGGCGCGTGTATGCCGTTTCCGAGCGGGGCGGCTGGCATGCCATTCGCACTCGCATTCGCATTCGCATTCGCATTGGCATTCGACCCGGAGCCGCTCGCTTTAGGCTGCTGCTGCTGCTGCTGCTGCTGCTGGAACGGCATCCCCTGCCCCGCAAACGGCGGCTGCCCAGGCGCAAACCCAAAGCCCGGACCCGGCGGCCTCACACCACCTATACCAGCACCAACGCCGACCCCAAACGGCGGCGGCGGCATGCCATTGATCCCCGGCGGCGGCGGCGGCATGCCGTTCACGCCCATCGGCGGCGGCGGGCCGAAGAACCCCGGCGGCGGCGGGCCCGGCGGGAACCCGTGGCGCATGTGTCCTGGTCCGTGTCCGTGTTGCGGGCCGGCGTGGTGGAAGCCGGGCGGCGAGACGCCGTGCGCGTGCGAGGGGCTGTACAGCGGCGGGAGGTGCAGCGGCGTCATGGGCGGGAGGGGCAGCGCGGTCGCGTTTTGTTGTTGGCTTGGTGCGGGCGTGGGGCGGACGGGCGTGCTAGGGCCGCCCGAAGGAGGTTGGGGGGGCTGTTGCTGTTGTTGAGGTTGAGGTTGCTGGAGCTGGAGCTGCTGGGGCTGTTGTTGCGAGCCGGATGCGGAGGACGATGCAGACGCGATGGGCTGCGCCTGCTGAGGCGGGACCTGCTGTCGAGCCTGTTGGGTCTGGGAAGGACCAGACGACGACGAAGAGGCGGCGGCGGCGGGCTGAGGCTTTGGCAGGATCTTCTTTGGCTGTGGCTGAATCTGCTGGCCGTTGCGCTGGTTGACCTGCAGCTTCTTGTTCCTCGCCAGCAGCAGCTGCTTCTCGCGCTCGGCCTTTTCGCGCTCAGCACGCTCCCTGTCCGCCTTTTCCTTCTCGGCCCGCTCGCGCTCGACGCGCTCCCGCTCCTCCTTCTCCCGCCTCTCCTTGCGCTCGCGCTCGGCCGCGCGCTCTGCCTCGCGCCTGGCCTCCTTCTCCCTGCGCTCCTTCTCCTCCCTTTCTTTCTTCTCCGCCCGCGCCCGCTCCTCCTTCTCGCGCCGGACCTTCTCGCGCTCGCGCTCCTCCGCGGCCTTGCGCCGCTTGTCCTCCTCGCGCTTTAAACGCTCCTCCTCCGCCGCCCTGCGCTTCTTCTCACGCTCCTCGTCGCGCTTCTTGCGCTGCTCCTCGGCCTGCGCCCGCGCCCGCTCCTCCGCCTCGGCCTTCTCGGCCTCCTTGCGCGCCTTCTCCGCCTCCTTGGCCTCCTTCTGCTGCCGCTTCTTCTCCTTGCGCTTCTGGTTGTCCTTCGCCTTGCGCGCCTGCGCGTCGCGCGCGGCCGCGTCCTCGTCCTCGAGCTCGCGCAGGAGCTGCAGCTGGCGCTCTTGCGCGACGCGCTCGCGGTAGGCTTGGAGCACGCGCTGCTCGAACATGCGCGCGGCGAAGATCGAGAACATCCGCTTGCCTTCTTCCATCTTTTGCTCCTCCGTCAGCACCTGAAAATCATCAGTATGGGATGCGAGATCGGAGGGAAGCGATGTACCTCGTCCTCCTCCTCGTCTTCGTCGTCTTCATCGTCCTCGTCGTCCTCGTCATCGACGTCCTCATCGTCCTCGTCGTCCTCCTCCTCATCGCTCTCGTCCTCGACGTCCGCCGGCGCGTCCTCCTCGCGCTGCATCCGGCGCTCGGCGAGCTGCTCCATCATCTCCAAAAACTTCTGCCCGTCGTTCTTCAGCAAGTCGTCGGCAACAGTTAAAATATTTCCTGCGATCGCACACGATCAGCATCTAATCGAGAAGATCGACCAAAATATAAGCGCACCGGTGACGGCGAGCGACGAGCCGAAATTGAACGTCCCGCGCGCGCGCGCCGAGGGCGGGGCCGCCTGCGTCTGCGCCGGGTCGTCGACATCCTCCTGATCGTCCTCGTCCTCCTCTTGCTCCTCCTCCTCCTCGTCCTCGTACTCCTCCTCGTCCTCATACTCGTCCTCCTCCTCGCCCTCCTCGCCCTCGCCCGGCTGCAACCCGTACTCGGCCTCCGCGCGCCGATTCGTTTTCGCGGGCGGGCGCGGGCGGCGCGGCGGCGGCGCGGGGCCGACGACCGCGCCGTTCTTGTCGAGCTCGACGGAGCCGGGGAACGGGCCGGGCCCGGGGGGAGGGGGCAGCGTGCCGCCCGAGGCGTGGTAGCGCTGCTGGTAGTGCGCGTACTGCTCGAGCTCGTCGTAGTAGGCGTCGTACAGGACCTCGAGCTCCTCCTCGATCGCGCTGCTGCTTGCGGAGGAGATCGAGTCTCGTTGAGTATTACGCAATAAAATATAATATGGGGGAAAGGGCGCACCGTTTGCGGCCGCAGACGGCGCAGGCGCACGAGTGCTTCTGCTGCTCCTTCATCTTCTTGAGCACGGCCTCCTTCTCGACGCGCACGAGCCCGCGCCGCTCCGCCTCGCCGAGGCCGAGCCAGAACTCCTTGATCCGCTCGCGCTCCTCGCTCGAGCTCGTGCTCCAGATCTTCGCGTTCGGCGCACCGGCCCCGTTCGCCGCCGCAGCGTTGGTGGCCGGCGCGGGGGTTGCCGTCGTTGTCGTTGTCGCACGCTGTTTGGCTGCGGCGGTGGCGGACGCGGGGTAGGCGTGCGCGGGCAGCGGCGCCTTGCTCTGCGCGCGCGCCGAGCGCTGATGGCTGTTCGCAGCGTTACTCGTAGGACTGCTATTTGTGTTATTTGCGTTATTTGTGTTATTCGGCGTATTATTATTCGCGGCGGGCGGCGATGCGGCGGCTGCGGCGGCGGCATTGCTCTTCATGGGGAGCTTGCCCTGCGCGCGGGAGCTCGGCGGGACGGGCGGCAGGTCGTGCGCCATCGCTGTGGTCGGGGATCCGTCGAGAGCGCCGGACGACGCGCGCGATACTTTCGCGAGAACGCCACGCGCGGCCCGGCCCGGGTTTCCCGCGCTTACGCTTGCGGGCGCGGCGCCACGCGAGACGCGCTCCCAGGCCGCGGACGCGCTGCGAAATACATCTCTCAGTACTTTCTTTCTCTTTCGGCTATTTATTTGTTATTGGGGGGCACTGACCTGAGGAGGCCGGTCTCGAGCTCGGAGGGCGTCAGAGGGAGATGCGCCCGCGCGGGCCCGGTGCGCGCGCCCATCGCGCGCTCCTTCAGGTTCCCGTGCGCGTTGTGCGCCGTGCCGGTGCCGCCGTACGCGCCCTCGACGAACGCGCTCACGTGCGGCGGCAGGCTCGCCCAGTACGCCGCGTCGCCGCCCGGCTTGCCCGCGGGCTGCCCGTCCAGAGCGGTGAAGGCGGCCGCGGCGGCGCGCAGGAGCTCGGCGCGCGCGGGGTCGGCGGAGGGGAGGTCGAGGGAGGAGTCGTAGAGCTCTTCTTCTTCTTCGTCGCCGTCGTCGGCTATGTCTATTTCTTCGTCTTCGTCTTCGAGGAGTTCTTCTTCTTGTTCTTCGAGCTCGACCTCTGAGGAGGACGAGATGTACTCGAACTCTTTCTCTTCGATGGGCGGTGGCGGAGGTGGGGGTGGTGCAGGCGCCGCGGCGGCGCGTCTCTTCTTTTTGCGATTCTTCTTGTTGGACTCTGTGTGGGTTTGGGCGGGCGCGGGAGGGGGCGGCATCGCCGGCTGGGCTTTGCGGCCTTTCGCCATATGTTGAGAGGGCGGGTGCAGATGCGAGTGATTAGATCGTCACGCGGGGAAGTTCAACCGCGTTGTAGATCGAATGATGCAGCTTTGTGTATAACTATTGTCACGCGAATGGTATTAGATTTTTGGCTCTTGTGAAAGGCGGGCGTCGAGTGGTACACACCAGAACGCGGCCGTCGGGGACAAGCGCGGGTGAGGCGTGCGGTCGTCGGTTGGGCGGGAATGGAAGGATGTTCTCAGGCTCAGGGTGTTTGTGTTTTGATCGAAGTCGAGCTCGCTTGCGCGGCGAGTTGGCGGTGGACGGCGATGTACTCTTTGCGGTGTGTGCTTGTAACTGGTAGCGCAGACCCTTATACGATGTCGAGCTCTCAGCTCGTGGATGCAGCACCCTCCGTTCCTCAAAGGTTCCCCACGCGCAGATTGAACAATGCATCTGGCGCGTCGGTTTACAGGTGTACGCTCGCAACGCACAGAGCAGACTGGTCATGAGGCTTGAAGGAGCTCATGGATGCAGTGCTACGACTATGGATCCTCCGTCGACAAAGTCTGCCTGCGCATCAATTTCACCTGGGCGGCAACGGCATGAATGTTGTTCTAAACTACGACGTCGCGTTGAGCCTTGTTCGCGAGAGGGTTCCAGCTAATCAAGAATCGATAGGCCGTTGCGCGAGGAGGGGGCCCTGTGGAGCCTCACGCTTGGCTTACGTTATATGGTACAGGTGTGAGATCGCCGCAAGCCGCGGCCGCGCTGCGCAAGCGTCCCCGCGCTCGCAGACAACGACTTATGCGAACATATGTGCTCTCCTTCAGCACCGTCTTGTCTGAGTGTTGTCTAATGCACCGTTTCTACGCGTGCAGGCCCGCTGAGCCATCATCACGAGGCCCAGCAGAGACATAACCGGGACGACGAGCGAACGGATGTCCTACGACCGGCCGCGCCTGCACAGCCTCATGCCCGAATAAGGCAGGCCGAGACGAATGACCCCTCCTCGCGCGGTGGCCTATCGATTCTTGATTAGCTATCAAGGGGACTAGACCACGGTATGCGCTCTTGTAGGCGCTTTGGTGAAATATACAGCTCTAGTACGTAGTCATGCGCGCTCTATAATGGGCTCTCATGTCCTCGAGTACTCGACTGCTGCAGTGTCCACAAGCTCAAGGATCCAGCTCGCGCACAGTCGTACATACGGAAGCTCGTGTCGTCGCTTCTTGCCACGACGGACCGAAGATATGCAACATGATTGCGCTCTTCAGACATGATCAGAGCACGCCATGAAGCTCGCACACGTGAGTACTACGCGCACCCAGCCCTGTCAAGACTACTCAGTCTCCTACGAACTCACGCAGGCTGCGCTCTCGCACGGAGGCGACTTCTGCGGCCAGCGGGAAGGTGTACGTGCCGACCCCATGTGTCTTATCACATAGTCCCGAGTGGATCGTACCCTTAACTTGACGGCGTGCCGATGTGGAACTGGGATCATGTCCGATTGGGTGTGTATGTGGGCGAGTCGTGCATTATCGCTGTGAATACGACACTTGTTTGTCGTATTCGCAGCTCGTTGTACGAAGAATGCGCGTCAAATGTGGGATAGATGATGATAGGGACCTGCGAAAGAAGTTCAACAGCACCAGGACCTCGATAGTCACGAGAGTGTGATGAGCGTGCGGTAGATCGTCCGAGTCTCTCTGCTTCGCGATCGGCGAGCTCCCGCCGCGCGTTTACAGCCAACGAGGACGAAATGCGCGTCCTGAACGTCTTTCCTCATGACGCCAGACCCGGTGCAGGCGTCCGCTCAGCCATCATACCTATCCGCACTATCAGATTACTAAGTCTTGAAGTACGGAGACGAGGGTACGAGGAGAATACGCGCTACGCGGTGGCACTCTTGCCTCTGTGATCTTCGGCCCGGCCCGGCCCGGTCCCCTCAAGCGCGTCTTCCACGGTGCGGCGAGAGTAAGCGTCTTGAACGCTGACCATCATGTCGTCGGATCTGGCACAGACGTACGTTCGACGGTCAAAGCCACCTACAGCCTCGAGCGACTAAGACGCGCGAATCATAGGCGAAGCGATGCATGGCGTTCCGTACTCAAGAATCGTCTGCAAGATCTACGACGCGTTCCCGATGGGCCTCATCTCCGGGACGCCGTCCTCGCCGAGCTCGACGCAGCCAATAAAGTCATCGCTGAGATAAAAACTGCGTGTAACTCACGCGCGCCAGTCATGAAGCTGCCCAACGAGTTGTTGGTGCAGATCTTTTACATTCTTCCAGACGAATGGACGCCGTACAGCGATTATGACGGTTCTTACAGAAAGCAGCGGTTGGAACTTGGGTGGCTGAACGTCACCTTTGTATGCAGTCGATGGCGCTCTATTGCGTTGAGTGCAGCCTCGCTATGGACCGACAACGATCTCTCTTTGGGCTCCACCTGGGCCAGACTCTTCTTCGTACGTGCGGAGTGCCTGCCGATATCGCTGAGCGGAGACGAAGTCGATACTTTGGTGTCCTTGAGCGACGGTGAGTGTTGCTACTCTCGTAGAATGTCCTGTGCTCACTGCGTGTGTTGCCTCGTCAGTATTCGAAACGGCGCCACATCCGGTAATCAGGTCCCTAGGAGATCTGTCCGTTGGCCAGTTATTGAAGTCTGCTTTGCCCCCTCCACTACTATTCGGCAATCTCGAAAGCATGCAGGTCGAATATGATGATGTGGCCGATCACGGTGGAGAGTTCTGGGGACATGTTTCATCTGATCTGCGGGACCTCAGTCTTGATGGGGCTACGAATGAGTCTCATCTCCTCGATCCTGAAGAGGCGGTTGCTGGACTTGCTCTGCTCCTTGCACGTTCCAACGTGTTGGAGAAGTTGACAATATACGGTACCTTCCTGTGGCCATTGGTGCTTTCCGTTCCTACCGACCTCCCCGCGCTTTGCGTGCTCGCCATTGCGGCAGCATCTTCTGACTGCCTCCGGTTGTTGAGAGCCCTCGGCCATCCGAACAACATCCAAAGGCTGGCGATTGAACTTGGCAGTTGGGAAAGCGCGGATATACACGGCATCTTTGAGATCATACGGCACTCCTCGACTTCCTCTCCCTCTGATCCTTTTACCAGCGTTGGAGTAGGCCGCGCGGACTTCTTCGTGACCCTCGCTGCAGCTCGTGACTCGGACTCGGATACTGATATTGAAGACATGTTCGAGAATGACGAACCGCCTTTGCACTACGGGATTATGGATGATCTCAGTCTATGTTTCTCGATGGTGGACGATCCCGAGGATACCTACGAATGTCTGTATGCCGGTATGCACTGCCTCGACTTTGCGCACGTTCGCACGTTGCGCTTGCACAACGTCTCGCCGGCTGTTGAGGATGTTCTGCGACACTATCGTGCGATGGGTGCGGTTGAGGAGCTTCGCCTCGTTGGCGCGGGACTTTGTACGGTTCTGACTGCGCTTGGGGTGGGCATACACCGCGCGCAGGGCGCACCCGGGGATGCATCTCCGGTCGAATCCGTGAACTTGAAGTACACATCGAACGTACTCTTCCCGCTTCTGCGGCACCTCGCTGTCAAATACGTCGACTTCGATGCGCAAGACCCAGGTGGAAGCGATCCGCCTCGAAGCGTTGGAAAAGCCCTCGCGTACGCCTTGGCTTTACGAGCGGAGCGGGGGATCGGTCTTGAGAGACTGTTCTTGACATATTGCGAGGTGGACGAAGATGATCTTGCGGACATGTCGGCGACGGTCACGCCGACGTTGCGTGAGTGTGATGTGAAGGGTGCTTCCACGGGGTCTGAGTCAGTTGTTGTAGAGGGGTCTGATATGTCGGAAGAATGATACAATGTATAAGTACCCTCAAGGACCCTATGTATCTTGGTTACCCTAGTCGAACAAAAGGTTGTCTTGATAGTCATGCTGAGAGAACCGGTCCTTGATACTGGATCTTGAGGAGTGGTACGATGCAGGAAAGGTGCTTGCGCTCAATCTTACTCATCAGTGCGTCGGGATGAGGAGGATGCTCAGATCTCGTTGGTATGGTCGAAGCCGCCATGCGGCGCGTCATGAAGAGATGACGCATCGGCGTTTCGGGCCGAAGTTGCCGTGTGCGCGCGAGTCGCGTCGGCGTCTCTCGGACGCTGGCCACCATATCCTCGTAAACCTAGTACAATTGTATGTTCCACCCGAGAACAACCATTCACTCGCATCATCTGCTGACTACGGCATGCAGGCATAGATTTCCTGGAACCTTCATCGGATCAACCGCCTTCAAGAACTCTGGAGCCCGAACTACGCTACGATGTACTTGCGGGGTTACGTCGAACGAGATCGTGAAGTCCATCGATGCGCTCTGCTTGTACCTCTTAAGCATATTGAGCCTTTGGAAGCAGTAGTCGCAGTTGCTCATGTTACAGTACTCGCCTCGGCGCTCTTCAGCACCTCAAGGCGAAGCGGCCGCGCGTGTCTTCTACAGGCACAATTGTATGTCTAGACTCAAAGCTGAAGATGACCGTCTCATCCGACATCATTGCCAGTGGGAATGTAAGACTTCATCGGGTTGTCGCTTGCTGGACCGCATCACCTTCAAGCTTCCGTCTAAGTCCCGAACGGGCGTCCGTTCAAGGACGCCAGTACCATGGTCATTCGCTTTACCAAATCGTAAACTGATACGAAAGTGCATAGCTCTCCGGGTAATGTATCAAGGAGACCAGTACGAATGAGGTGAATGTGGCGGTTTGAGTTGATCATGAGTAACCTTGCGATCTTCATCCTCCCTGCTGTCGCTTGCCTCGAGTTGGACCTCGATCGTCCAGCGGCTGCGGGCACTGTCCGGAGGCTACTATGCGCTCAGTGATCGAGAGACGCAAGATATAGAGATTGCACATACAATGACAGAGGATAAAGACGATGTGTGTGCCGCGTCGGTTGTGGAGTTGCTCTTTGATCGCGCCTCGCGCTCGCGGTTTGACTTCGAGTTGCGCTTGGTATCCTGTAGACTCTCGCGGTGCGCTTGTGCGCGGACGATCATCAAGAACGGAGCGGTTGCCTACGTTTCATCATCAGGTGCGCTTACAAACGAAATCGGTGACTATGTGTACTCACACTAACTTGAACAAGGATGTCGACGTCGATCGTCCCGACATTCACGCGCGCGAGGAAGGAGATGAGGGACAGCAAGGTCAGCAGCCCGTACACCGCTCCGCTCTCAACGACAATGCGAAGAGCGTGCCATTCGCGCGTCCACCACTGAGGGTTTCGCCAGCCGATACTTATGAATATACGCCAGGCAATCAATGTCGTTGCACCGACTTGCAAAAGGAGTGAAAGAACTGTGAATGCCAAGATCCAGACCGCCAAGGACGAATCGAAAACAGCCTCATCTGCTCGCAGTTGTACGAGATTGTTCAGGATATTGATCAAGCTGACTACATAGAAGATCATGTTCAAGATCTCGCTCAGAAAGAAGCTACGGATGTAGACTCACCGAAGAGTAAAACCCAAAGCACAAGCTGTCCATAGCACCAGTCAGGCGAGTCGTGGTGTAGAAGGTAGAACTCACCAACGGCGAACAGAGCTTCCAGCCACGCCCATTGATAGTCCACGCTCGCCAGAGCAAGATACCGCTACCAATCCAATCCTAGCACAATTCAGCTCATCCATTCACGCCGTGACGAATTACCCATACGTTGACAGTATACATGGCCTGGTCTGCAACATGCAGACCCGCCGCCTGTTCCCTCAAGTACTTGGACGCAAGCTCGCCCCCATCCAGCGATACAAATGCGTATAAGTTCCTAGCCAGGAGAACGCCAGATTGTGCGCCACAAATCAATATCTGAACCGTCGAGACCAGTATGAGGAACCATCTGCCAAAACTGAGTGAGCCCGCGTGCCCTGCGTGCCAGCTCAGGTCGGCTCACCTTCCGCTGACGCTCTGCTCCGAAGGTCTCAAGAGCGCGCGAATGCAAAAGAAGTATAGGATGAGGCTGCCCAACACCGTCGTAAGCTTCTGCAAACCCTCATCACAACTCCATCAGTCAACCCACTTGACACCTACGCAAGGCGTTCTCGAATCAGATTCAAGGACCGTACCGAACGGGCATTGCCACGTACCGAAGAGCGTACTAGAGAACCAGCTCTCAAGAAGGGAAATCGCACTTGGTGTCAGTTCCTCCATTGCAAATGACAGGCCCAGCCTGTGAGTAAATCCGGGGACGCCGCATGGACGCCGGACGGACGCCTGTCTTTATGTGCGATCTCGATCTCGCAAGTGACACCGTGAAACGAACGTTCTTGGGGCGTAAGAGGCCTGGGAGCGGTTGGCAAGCGACGGTCATCAGATACTCTTGGGAACGTACATAGGCGCTTGTTGATCTTCTCAATGCTGAATAGGCGCGCCCATGGCATTCTTCGGGAGAACTATCTTCAATTGTATTTGCGCATCGGCAGCTCGATTGGCGGAGAGCGACGGGGTACATGATGATCTCGCCGGAAGGCTGCATGTTGTTTGAGAGCCAGACTCGTTCAAGTATTCGGGTACTCACTTTCATGCCGGGAGGAGTGTCGCGGCGGCTGTTGTGTTCAGCCGATCACCAGAAATCTCGACTAGCAACATATCCATCACCACTTCTGTACGCGAGCGTGCGCTTTCATGACAGCTTCGACATAGAGTAGGATCAATATAGCGATAGAAGCTGATAGACGGTACGTGAGCGCAATCGCGGCTACAACCAAACTGACCGCCGTTCGTAGATGGAATCTTTCTCGAGATCCGAGCATTGTTTCGATGGAGGATCACTATAACCTATACATAATATTCACTCTCTTTGACACCTTGTCCCGCCGCGCGCAGAGAATGCTACCCGCAATGTTACAAGAAGCCGTCACCAGTCGACAGGCTTGCCCACTTTGAGTAATAATCGCCGCTACAAGCCACCTAAGCTGGCTCTCAGAGAGGGACTCGAAGCGTCTCGTGGGTGGCACATCCTGCTCGAGAGCGCGACCGCAGTTTCGTTCGGGGGGTGAACTGCGCGGAAGAGTCTTTGACCAAACGGGAAGGAAGAGCGTGACGCGGCGAAGAATATAAGTAGCGCACAGCAAACTTCTCGCAGCGCGGGTAGGCCTGCACGTTTTGATGGCTCTGAAGTTCATCAGTACGTGGTCGTAGTCACTGTGCAAGTCTGCTCCAACGGGCTGCAATGGTGCGCGAAGACGACGCGCTGCGCCTCGGCAACTCGGCCCGGATGTTCGCGAGTCGCGTCTCTTGAACTCGACCACCATGTCCTTGTCAGAGTCGGGGTTGGCGCAATCGTACGTCTTCCATGAGAAGGGAAGGACCTCCGTTTTATCTGACATCTTTTTCGATGTAGGCGTAGCATTGCGTGGGGCCGACATCGACAGGAGTGCCTGCATGCTCTCCGGAATATCCCTTACGGACCCGAATGGCGAGATGCTGCCCTCGCGGAACTGGACGAGGCCACGAGACTCGTTACTGACCTACGCTCTACCTACAACTCTTACGCGCCGATTCTGCGACTTCCCAACGAGATACTAGCTCTTGTATTCGTCATCCTCCAGAGTATCTGGGAGCCCAGGCACGCCACGAATCTCGGCTGGTTAAATGCTACCTTCGTCTGTCGCTCGTGGAGACTCGCAGCGCTTAGGATGGCTTCTTTATGGACACGACCTCCCCTTCATCTCGGAAAGGAATGGACTAGGACGTTTTTAGAGCTTGCAAGGTCACTTCCGATTTCGCTCGACATCCTGGCGAGAGGAACGATACAATACAACGACATGGCCTTTGAAACACTACTGTCTTTGAAAGATTGTGAGTTCTGTGAATGGTTTGCAGACTTAGCCGGGGCTCACCGGATGTCTCTAAACAGATTTTGAGACCAGTTCCTGCTCCCACGTACGGTGGTTGAATCTATCTTTGGATTGGGATGGTGCAGAATGGAATGCGTACATGCTGCCACCTTCTCTCTTCGCTCCATTGTGGTCCCTGACGCTCAGCCACTGGCTACTGCTGAAAGGTGGAGCTAGGTTTTGGGACTGCTTACCATCTACCCTACAAGAGTTGGTACTCCTAGGCATACCTTCTGACTGTGAAGAGGAGCCTGGGGCTGAGACAATCACGGGCCTCATTCCGCTTCTCTCACGCTCTACTAGGCTCTCAAAACTCGTTATATATCACTCATTTCTGGACATACTGGAACTACCCGAACGTCTCGATCTACCTGCTCTTCGCGACCTCACGATCGGAGCGACATCGCAAGATTGCCTCCGTCTGTTGAAGGCACTTGACAACCCGTGCGAAATACAAAAGCTCGCTCTCGAGTTCGGGCATTGGGATCCTGGCGACATTGACGGCATACTCCAGTTCATGCAACAATCGTCTGTCACTACCACCGAGAAGCCGTTTACGTCTCTCGGCATTGGGCGCGTGGGCGACTTCTTCGTCGTCGCCGCAAACCGCGAATCGAACCCTGCCGATGCAATAGAGCGCATGTTCAGAGTCAAATCCGCGCTTTTGGAGAGCGAAGTGATACAAGACATCAGCTTATGCATCGAGATGCAGGATGTGGGTTCAAGCCTTGACTCGTACCTCTGCTTAATCCCTTCTCTTCACCCACTCGGCTTCTCCTGTGTCCGCACACTACACATTCACAACATTCTCCTGCCTACCAAACGAACTCTTTGCCACCTCGGTGCTATGCGAGCAGTGGAGGAAATGTGTCTCGCTGGCCCAGGAATGCACACGGTTTTAGTCGCACTCGGGCGGAGCGTGAACGCTGAGCAGGAGGAAGGTCACTTCCCGAAGCTGGCGAGGAAGGCGGCGGATCTTATCTTCCCACGACTCCGACGCCTTCGTGTTGAAAGGGTTGACTTTGGCGTGCTGTGTGAAGACGCGTATTGCCTGGCGGCAACCGTTGCGCAGACCTTTGGCCTAGCTTTGGTGGTCCGCGCGCCACTAGGTTCCGCCATACAGACCATGCATCTCGTCAAGTGCGTGGTGGGCGAGACGGACCTGGAATTATGGGCCCAAGCGATGGAGGTGACGATGGATGGGTGTCCCGTAGAGCGTAGAGAATGATTGTCGTGGATCTAGCATTGCTATGTATTATTTTCATATACGGTATCGATGTTGTGTGTTGAAAGCAGATGCACGTCGGCATGGAGCCGATAAGGCCGATGAGTCCGAAGATGAAGAGGCTGAGTCTGGTTTTCAACTGACCTGCCGTTCTTTCTCACCATGACACGTAGTTCGCTTGCTCATTATGGCCTCAGTGCTTCACCGAAAGGTATCGCGCATGCCACGGCCACGCAGAGCACACGGATAGCTTGAGAAGAAGCGAGCTCTCGGCATCTCCCGTTATCTCTGTATCAGATAGCGGCTCTCCCTCGTCGACCACCATCTCCCCACACGCTCCCCGCCTCCTCGACTCGAAATGGGCATCCTGGCGGCCGATATCGAGAAGTCCCTTCGCGAGAAGCTGCCCATTGCGCATGTAGAAGTCGTGGACGAGTCCAGTGGCTGTGGCGAGAACTATAACGTGCTCATCGTCAGTTCGGTCCGTGGAATCAAGTCAGGCGCTTCGGCCCAAACACCGCTGACGCGGTCTTCGCATAGGCTTTCGAGGGCAAGACAACGCTTGCCAGACACCGGCTTGGTACGTAAGCTGTTGTAGTATCTTGTGCGCATCGCTCATATTTCTCGCAGTTAATGAGTTATTGAAGGCGGAGATTGCGCAGATGCACGCGTTTACGCAGGTGTGGCCCGACGCTTGCAGTATTGGTTACCGTTTGACCTCGTGCCCTCTTTTTAGAAGACGCTCACGCCGAAGCAGTGGTCGGAACAGTCGTAGGCGCCGCCTCACCCGTCTTCCTCGACTCCGCATGCTAGCCCGTGTACTAATACCATGTATACTTGCTTTATCATTGTTGTACACTAAGCCTCGTGCACCTTCGCTGGGCTCTGTCAGCACATGTACCGGCATTCTAAGTATACGCGAACGTCATGAAGCCCTTGGGTCCGTCCAGAGTCATAAGGCGCAGTCGGGACACCAACTGTGTGTCGTGCGGGAACCGTGTACGATGGAATACTTATGGACGCAAAGTCGCAAGGGAAGAGGGAGCCCGCGCGAAATAGACTTGCTTCTTGCCATCGTTGTCGCGCGACCGGACATTTGTACCTCGCTAGCTATATATACACGTACTCTCGGTTCTCAATACGCAATGATCGTGCGGCACTCCTTCAAGCGATCATGATAGAGAAGCGCAAGTTCGCATGCCTGAGAATCCTTATCACCAGCCGGCGTATCAACCGCCTGCTCCCCTTTCCGCGCGCTCGCTCCCCGAGCGCCTACTTCCGTTACGTTGGACTTCCCGTCTCGAGCCAAATTTGCGTAGATGGATCCGCTAAGGGACGCACCAGCGCTGATGGGGAAGTCTTTCTATGACAGCAGGGGCCCCGACTCTTATACCGGCGCGGGTAGACTCGAGCCACTTCTTCCCCACTCCCACCTTGTCTGTGAAAACTCGCAGCGTCCACTTCTCGGTGCCTTGAAGGGACAACATCATGTCTACGGAGACTGCGGTACCAGCAACGATGCACGGGCGCATAGCAGCCGCCGATGAACAGGTGCGGGTGCAGTTCGATGTGTGATTACGCCTTATTGACACAAACTATTTGCAGTTATTAGCGCAACTCGGGTACAAGCAGGAGTTCAAGAGGGCATTCTCTCCACTTGAGGTAAGTCCTCTGCCTGTATTGTGTACATTCGATATTGACACTTGCACAGGTGTTCGGTATTGCATTCTCTATCATCGGCTTATTACCCTCTATCGCGTGCGCATCTCGATCGTCTCCGAAGGGTGTCTCCCTGATAGCGCGCTCAGTTCGGTCCTCTTTTACTCTATCCCGAATGGAGGACCAGTAGCCATGGTCTGGGGTGTACGTGAATGCTTGCCTATTCGTGGACTCATCAGTTCTGACCCTGCGGTAGTGGGCCGTTGCCTCTGTCTTCATCCTATTTGTCGGCATGAGCATGGCCGAACTCGCCTCTGCTGCGCCTACATCTGGGGGGGTACGTTTCATACGCATCTCTGTACTGTTGTGACCTAATGAAGTGCGCAGCTATACTTCTGGACCCACTCGCTATCTTCGCCAAGATGGCGGAACCTTCTCGCCTGGATCGTGGGCTGTAAGTGATAGGTGCTTCGAGCTTCATCGGCTGAGCGCTGACATACGTCGTGCTGTAGACTCTAATACTGTTGGTTCAATAGCAGCTGTCGCCAGTATAGACTGGGGCGCTGCAGTTCAAGTCATGGCGGCAGCCAACATCGGATCAGGGTACGAAGCTACGAATGGGGTGACATTGTATGTGCACTGCCCTATTGGCGAGACGTCGTCTAACTGACACCCGGCTTCAGCGCAGTATATGCCGCCATCATCCTCTCGCATGCCGTCGTGTGTTGCCTAGGAACTCAGCTCCTCGCTCGACTACAGAGCTTATACGTGGTGCTCAATGTCTTGTAAGTGTCTGCGCGTCCACGTCGAATGGTGTGCTCAAGTTCAGTTAGACTTTGCCTGGCGGTAATCGTGGCTCTACCCGCTGCGACTCCCAGCGAGTTGAAGAACCCCGCGAGCTATGCTCTCGGCAACTTCACGAACGGTGTGTGGACTGATATATTGCAGTTCTTCATGTCTGATCGTACCCACAGCGTATGATTGGCCTGATGGCTTTGCCTTCATGCTCAGTTTCCTCGCCCCGTTGTGGACTATCTGTGAGTACGCGGTCATGGGACCTGTAATACCTTGTTCACATATGGTATCCAGGTTCATTCGATTCGAGTGTACACATCAGTGAAGAGGCGGCTAACGCCGCGACGGCAGTACCCTGGGCAATAGTAATGGCGATCGCAATTGCTGGGATCTTAGGATGGGGTTCGTCTCTCCATCCATCGCCGGTGTACTTGCGTCTTGATATGACATATAGCTATCAACGTGTCCCTCGCGTTCTGCATGGGTCAGGACCTTGACGCTATCATCAACAGTGACCAACCTATGGCCGCTATCTTCAACAACAGCTTTGGCCAAAAGGGCACATTGGCTGTGTGGGCTTTCGTAGTGACGGTGCAGTACATGATGGGCTCGAGCATGGTACGTATCAGCGTCTGACGCACAACAAGAAACCTCCGAACTGATCATTGTCTAGATGCTTGCGGCCTCGCGCCAGTCATTTGCATTCTCCCGCGATGGAGCTCTACCGTTCTCTTCGATCTTGTATCGTATGAACTCCTACACGGGTACACCGGTCAATACCGTGTTCTTCACCGCTATCTTCTCTCTGCTGCTCGGCCTGCTCGTCTTTGCTGGCGAGCAAGCTATCAACGCCGTCTTCGCTATCTCCGTCACGGGCCTGTACATCGCGTATGCCATCCCAATAGCTGCGCGCTGGATCTGGCACAAGTCCAACGGATGGCGAGATGGTCCTTTCTCGCTCGGCTGGTTTGTGAGTACACGCTCTCATATACTCAAGGATACGAAGCTGACGAGACTCGTAGAGTCTACCGTGCGCGATCATCTCTTGCTTATGGATGGCCTTCAACGGCATCATCTTTCTCTTCCCAACAACGATGAAGACCGACGTCGCCGACATGAACTACACCGTTGTCGTACTTGGCGGGGTGCTCATCTTGGCACTGATTTGGTACTACTTCCCGGTGTACGGCGGCGTGCATTGGTTCACTGGACCCGTACCGAACGTGGATGGCCACGAGGCTCACAAGTGGGGAGGCGCGTCGGTCGGTGATGGGGAGGAGTCGCCGCGGTATAGTAATGAAAAGGAGAAGGATAGGGCGGACGCGCGGGTGGAAGAGGCGAGCTGACGAGCTGTTGTGTCGTAGAGCTTGTATAGCTGGCAGTCATGACCAGATTGAAAATACTCCCTCTCGTATACTGTACTTGACGAATAGAACGTCCAGACTTCGATCGAGTAATCGCGTGACGTCACGAGATGGACGCAGCCGAAGACGTGATCTGAGCTCAGAAGCAGACCGCGATGACCGTCGGCCAATGGCAGTACAGTTATCCTGTACTGGTTCGGGCACAGTCGCCTCCGGTGAAATGCTACGGTTAAGATTCAACTGTGGACGATGCTATCGTCCGAACTCGCCGCGCCGGACAAGCGCATCATATCGCGCCCTCGCCTCCCGACGGCCGAAATCAGGTCGCGCGCTATCTCTCCCGACGAGCGCGGGGCATCCGCTATCTTCCTATCTCACGAGGTCGCGCGTATATAGATCGAGATCATGCAAGCCCTCGCCCTTGTCCCTCTCGTCTTGCTGCTGCTGCCATCATGGACCCCGAGAAGGTCGCGCCTGTACTAGCCGAGGCTCCGTCGTTGAGCCCGAAGCCGACGCGTGCAGGATCATGGGCGCGCTCGCGCGTTGCGCGCGTATTGCTGCCTGTGTGCATGGTCTCGCTATGGCTGGCTAGCGGACATATGGGCTGCTTGTACCATTCTGCCGAGAAGCACGTCGTGCGCGTTGAGCCGCCTGCTATCACGGAGTTGTGCCCGCAGGTTGAGGCTGTCGCGCCTAGTGCGCAGTTCGGCGAGCTCACGAGCGCGCTCGACGCGTCGTTGAAGGAGGATGAGGTTAAGTCGTGGGCGATCGAGTCGCTTGCAGCTGCTGTGCGCATTCCGTGAGTCTGCTCGAGATCATTTGGGGCCATGTGTACAGGTTGCTGACTGCATCTATAGCTCTATCTCATACGATGGTATGGACCCTCCTGGAACAGACCCTCGCTTCGAGATCTTCGCGTCATTCCACAAGTACCTAGCCGAGCGGTTCCCTCTGGCGTGCGTATAGACTGTGTCCTTCACCGCCGCGCATCGCTGATCGGACGATTCCTTAGGCACAAGACGCTTGAGCAGACGAAAGTAAACACGTATGCGCTGCTCTATCACTGGCAGGGCTCGGATGCGTCTCTGAAGCCGCTTATTTTGACCGCGCACCAAGGTCTGTTCTGTTATCATATGGCTATAGGACCAGAGGAATGCTAAACGTGGAATATAGATGTGACTCCCGTGCTTGAGGACACACTGGACCAGTGGCTTCATCCACCTTTCTCTGGCCACTTCGACGGCACTTGGATCTGGGGTCGGGGAAGCTGCGACGATAAGTCGGGGCTCATCTCCATCATGTACGTACTCTCCGATACACTGACGAGTCGGTATGCTGAATATGAGCTAGGTCGGCTATCGAGCTAATGCTCCAGACGGGCTACAAGCCGACACGGACTGTCGTTCTTTCATTCGGTATCGACGAAGAGTCCAGCGGCCCATACGTAAGCTCTTCCTGTAGACTCGGAGCTCATCGTACTGAGAACGTCTCAGGGTGCCGGCGCACTCGCAGACTACATCGTCGACGTATACGGCAAGAACTCTTTCGCCTTCCTTGTGGATGAGGGCGGTGCGTGAGTGCTCTGTTGCTCCGAGTAGAAGACCTGACAAGAACTAGGGAGGTATGCGAACCATGACGGCGTCGTGATTGCATCTCCAGGTGTCGCAGAGAAGGGATACATCAACGTCCAGATGGAGATCACCAACCTCGGGGGACACTCGAGTGTTCCTACACCGCATACCGTGCGTGGACAAGTGAAAGTGACTCTGATAGTGTTATACTGATGATCGACGTTCAGGGCATCGGCTTGATGGCTGCGATGGTCAAGGCGCTCGAGGACAACCCCTTCCCTACAGCATTGCTCCGCGACAGGACCTACTTTGCCAACTTGCAATGCGCAGCAGCGTACGACTCAAGCTTGGCGCCCGAGCGCGTGCAGCTCATTACGAACGCTACCGTAGATGACGCAGCACTAGAGGAACTCCACGAGACGCTACTCTCTGAAGGTGGCAACTTGTACCGCGCCATAACGGGTACGACGCAAGCCATCGACATCATCAAGGCCGGAGTCAAGGTCAACGCGCTACCTGAGAGGACGTACGTGGCAATCAACCACCGCGTTGCAGACTACAGCGACTATGACGCGGTCAAGACTCGCTATGCGAACGTCCTTGCGCCCGTCGCAGCGAAGTACAACCTCACGCTTGATGTCTTCGGCAACTCGTATGGTTCTGGGCCGGCATTTGGGCATCTGAAGATCACGACCGCGTTCGACGAGCCTGTCCCACCTGCTCCTGACGCGCCGACCTACGGCAGCACGCCGTGGGCTTTGCTTGCGGGAACGATCCGCTCGACGTTATTGGATGGTCATAGGCCTGATCTGCCGAAGGCGGAGAGTGCGGCTGTGGCGCCGATGCTTGGGCTTGGAACGACAGATACGAAGTATTATAGCCGTCTGACGCCTTATATCGTGAGTTGCGATGTGCGGGATGTTGCGGTTACAGTTGCTAATGAATGTTGCAGTACCGGTACCATCACCTCGACTCTGGTGACAGCTATAATGGAGCGCATACGGTCAACGAGGCAATGAAGGCTGAGGGCTTCATTGAGATGATTCGTTTCAACACGCGTTTATTGCTCAATGTTGACGAGGCGGACATGGCGTAGCGAATCATGAATGTACAACCTAACAGCTACTTTGACACCCTCATCATGGAACAATTTGCGTGACACTTTGCGTAAAGCTGAAAGAGAGTTGGTCAACATGCGTGGAAATCAGAGATGGAACGTGTATTCAGCTTTCCGTTCTTGACGGCCGCCCGAAGCGGTTTCTGTATAGTGCTCGAAAGTCACAGACCAGTGTACCAGAACCGAGCGACCGCAAGTGCCTCATCGAGCGAGAGCTCTCAGCAAGGGATATGTTGACATCATGAGATCGGGATCGAGCGTAAGACTTACTGGACTCTTGGCGAAACTGAAAGAAGGCTCGCGAAATGCAAACAAAGGATTGACACGTCGGCGCGTCGACTCACATCCGAGTGCGAGCACGCAGCTCGGTTCACGGACTGTACGGTCTTCTGATGCGAGAAGGGTCTTGAAGCAGGTGGCACAAGCCGTACAGCTTGTGCAATGTGCCACGTCCGCGTTCGAAACGTGCTGGTCGGCGGCAAAAAGCAAAAGGGCGACGTGTTTGCTGGCGTGGCGGTGACACGTGTACGCGCGATATAAACGCCCGCGCGCGCCGGATTCGCGCTCAATTCACGACTTGTCCCCCTACCTCTTCACTGACGATGGGCCGACGCTCACGAACATCGCCGCTCGCCGGCATCGCACTCTTCTTTGCTATCTTGCTCGCTGTCTTGTGTTTCTGCCCCGCGGTCGCGGTTGCTGACGACGAGTCGAGCACTAGCGAATATGGAACTGTTATCGGTATCGGTGAGCAATATCTATAGCTATACAGTTATTCAGAACCGTACTCACATTAATACGTAGATTTGGGAACTACGTGAGTGGCGGCGCGTCTGCTATTGATTATAGATCTCGTACTGACGTGTCTTTCCGCGGCGTTCAGCTACTCTTGTGTTGGGTACGTTCATCTCTCATCCGCATCCCAACATCTACTGATTTGTTATGTAGTGTACAACGTGGTGGCCGGGTAGAGATTATCGCCAACGACCAGGGTCACCGTATCACACCGTCATGGGTATCTTTCTCCGATGAGGAGCGTCTGTAAGTTGCTCAAGCGTCCGATGGCACGAGTACATTCAACTCATCGATATTCTAGTGTTGGTGACGCCGCGAAGAACGCCTTCGCGTCCAACCCCGAAAACACCGTATTCGACGCCAAGCGTCTCATCGGTCGCAAATTCGACGAGCCTGAACTCCAAAAGGATATGAAGCACTGGCCATTCTCCGTCGTTAACCGCGGAGGCAAGCCCGTCATTTCGGTCCAGCATCACGGCGAGAAGCGTGAATTTGTACGTGCTCAACGCCCAGAACTATGCTTCGAATGATATTGACTACTCTCATAGACCCCCGAGGAGATTTCCGCTATGGTTCTTGGCAAGATGAAGGAGACCGCCGAAGCGTACCTCGGAAAGAAGGTCACCCACGCCGTCGTCACTGTCCCCGCCTACTTCAACGACGCTCAGCGTCAGGCGACCAAGGACGCCGGTACCATCGCCGGTCTTACCGTTCTCCGTATCATCAACGAGCCCACCGCCGCCGCCATCGCCTACGGTCTTGACAAGTCAGAGGGCGAGTCGCAGATCATCGTCTACGATCTTGGCGGTGGAACTTTCGATGTCTCCCTCTTGTCGATCGACGACGGCGTCTTCGAGGTTCTCGCGACTGCTGGTGACACCCATCTTGGTGGCGAGGACTTCGACAACCGCGTCATCGAGTACATGCTCAAGCAGTACCAGAAGAAAACTGGTACCGACGTTTCGAAGAACCTTCGTGCGCTCGGCAAGCTCAAGCGTGAGGTCGAGAAGGCCAAGCGCACGCTCTCCGCCCAGCAATCGACTCGCATCGAAATTGAGGCCTTCGAGAACGGTAACGACTTTTCCGAGACGCTTACCCGCGCCAAGTTCGAGGAGCTGAACATGGACCTCTTCCGTCGCACTATGAAGCCCGTCGAGCAGGTTCTCAAGGACGCCGGCGTCAAGAAGTCGGAGGTTCATGAGGTGCGCCTATCTTTGCTTATGTCGCGTGACCGTGTTATTGACGCTCCCTGCGAACAGATCGTTCTCGTTGGTGGTTCCACTCGTATCCCCAAGGTGCAACAGCTCCTTAAGGAGTTCTTCGGCGGCAAGGAGCCTTCCAAAGGCATCAACCCCGATGAGGCCGTCGCGTACGGTGCTGCTGTCCAGGGTGGTATCCTCTCCGGTGACGAGAGCTCGCCCGACATCGTCCTCGTCGATGTTTGCCCGCTTACGCTCGGTATCGAGACCACCGGCGGTGTCATGACTAAGCTTATCCCCCGCAACACGGTCATCCCCACTCGCAAGAGTCAAATGTACGTCGCGCTCGCACTGATAGATGATAGGTTTGATATTGACGCCTTCTCTCTAGCTTCTCGACCGCCGCCGACAACCAGCCCACCGTCCTGATCCAGGTCTACGAGGGCGAGCGTTCGCTGACGAAGGACAACAACCGTCTCGGTCAGTTCGAGCTCTCCGGTATCCCGCCATCGCCCCGTGGTGTTCCCCAAATCGAGGTCACCTTCGAGGTTGACGCCAACGGTATTATGAAGGTTTCCGCGGCCGACAAGGGAACGTACGTGCCTTTCCTACCTATGTTTTTTTCGGTGCGAATTGCTAACGTTCTTACAGCGGCAAGTCCGAGTCCATCACGATCACCAACGAGAAGGGTCGTCTCTCTAAAGACGACATCGAGCGCATGATCCGCGAGGCCGAGGAGTTCGCCGCGGAGGACGAGGCCCAGCGCGCACGCGTCGAGGCTCTCAACTCGCTGTCTTCCTTCGTCTATGGCCTCAAGTCGCAACTCGGTGACCAGGAGGGTCTCGGCGGCAAGGTCTCCGACGAGGACAAGAAGACGCTCCTCGCGCTCGCGAAGGAGACCACCGACTGGCTCGACGCCGAGGGTAATTCTGCGACTGCGGAGGAACTTGAGGAGAAGCTGCAGGAGGTGCAGGCTGTTGTAAACCCGATCACCGCGAAGATGTACGAGGGCGCTGGCGCGGGTGGATTTGGTGGTGATGAGGAGCAAGATCCCTTCTACGCACACGATGAGCTGTAAGGGGTAGATCGAGGCGATACCCGTGTATATATATTCGCAATCGAGTACTAATAGAATGCAATACGTCTCGGAACTCGCTGGTGCGATCTCTGTGTGAGCTATTGTTGTGACCGGTATCTACAGTACATAGTAGCTACGTACTTATTATACTGTCGCGCTCATCCGGCGACTACCCCTACGTTAGGGTTACGTTCGTATGTAGTCGCGCGTCGCGCGTTCGCTCTCACCACCAACTACACAACCCACGAATCCTATCTCTTTTCTCCTTTCTCTTTCTTCATCTCTCCTCTCGTCTCCCAATCTCATTTGATCCCTTTCCTCTCTCGACTCGTGCCTCAAGATCCAGGGAGGGCTCTCTCCCTCGACCTCAGCCTCAAGACATCGTACCTGTCGGGCGGCCGAGTGCAAGAGCACCGGCCTCCGTCGCCCAGGGTACTCCGGGCTCGTTCGGCGAATACATCGTGCGAGGAGTTCGCTCTCTGGGGCCGTGAGGCCCCGGATCCCTCGCGTCGGGTCTGTTCAAGGACGCCTTCGCGCCGCCTGCCGCTCGCGTACCGCTCCCCAGTGTTCCCGGCGTGCGCCAGCTTACGGAATGGCGTCACAATTGTACTGCAACATTCAATCCGGCACGGTATCATTACTTGAAGAGACACGATGTTCGCTTGCGAAGGTTGCAAGAAGTGTGTTATGATATCATACAGTGTACGTGTTACTTAGCAAAGTACATCAAGATATAAACCACATCGGTAGCCTACTGCATTCTCAGCAGAAATACATGCGGCCGAGGCGGGACATGTTCAAGTGAGCAGGTTTGAACTCCTTGCGGAAATATTCCACCTTTTGATGCTGAGCATCCGAACCGTCGGCAGTCTCGGACGTCGTCTGCGTGAAGTCGGGGCCCGCATCGCCGCGGGCGTAGTGGTGGGCTGCGCGCGAGCAGACTATGTCTGCGTAGTAGACCGGGGCAGGGATAGAGACTGAGCGAGTCGCGCGCGCATATACGTGTGTCAGGGCGAAGGTTAAGGACTGCAATCCGTCCGCTCTAAGGGTGTCGTCAGTCCATGTACGGTGAGACTCCAGGCGAGACGTACGTGAATCCGTTCTCGTCGTAGAGAACATTGTAATGCGCAGGACGCGAGGTGCCGAGAAGACCGCCATGCGACTGGAGGTAGAAATCGAACTCGACCGGATTAACGACGTCTGTGTCCACGACCGTCCCTGCCGGACAGTTGCCGGAGCTGTCGCCATCGCGGGGGTCGGAAGGGAAGAAACGGACGTGGTGTCGCTTGCCGACGATGATAACGGTGATCTTTGCATTCACCCCGCGATCGGCACAAGCCGCCTTAATGAGCGGTAGCTCTGTACTGCGATGAGTATAGCGCAAGGCATAAGATTGGAAGAGTACGCACCACGCTCCAAGACGTGCGAGAACTGGCCCTCCGATACACCGTCGCGATAGAATACGATGCGCTTCGGCGCGAGTTGTACCTGTTTCTCAGTATCCCTCCGGTAGGTCATGTACCTCTGGAGGATCTCCTGCGAAACGGCGTGATGATTGGAGCTAGAGCAATCAAGGGTAACATCGCCAGACGTACCGTGACCATAGACTGGAGATCCTCGATGATCTCGACGCGAGGTTCTTGTACGCCCATGATTGAAGTGTACTTCGCAGAGTCCTTGTCAATGTTTCCAACGACCGCACTGAACGATGGTCGCCCATCAGAACCCGGAGCCGGGTGAACGACGTCAGCGCCAAGAACGAGTGTTGGGTGAGACGGATCGGTAAGGAAGGAGACAGATCGTGGATCCGCTATGCTGTTGATGCCACCGAGTTTGGGATTGAGCTTGAGGATGACGTTCGCGAAGTATTGTTGCTTCGCGCGCGAGCACTTGGATGATTTCAGGCACTGGGTCGGGACACCCATCTGTCGCGACATCAGATCAAGGTTGCTAGATCGAAACACTAGTGGTCACCTTGACATCACCAAAATGCTTGACTGCCGAGTAGATGTCACTGCTCGCCTCCGGAAGGATGATCAAGTAGAAAGACGGGATGCTCTTCGTCTTCTCGCGACACATCTTACCGATTGTGATGAGTTGCTTAAGAGACCGTTAGCACAGGGTGACAGGTGAACAAAGTGTCCCTCACGTCAACAATGGCGCCTGAAGGCGGAGGGTATTGAGGCAGAATAGCTGGATTCTTCGCGATGATGACACCTGATTGGTACAGTGTTCAGAGATGATGCATCTTGTATGTTATTTGAAGATGAGCACATACCAACTGAGTTCGCAGCTTCGCGGAGGCTTTTGATGACTTCTGTTGCTTTAGCGAGGCTGAAACGACTTTGTTGCTCGTATACGACGACGACCCATTCGTTGATTCCCGTGGCTGGCTGGTACACCTTTTTTTCAATCCTAAGCAGACGTCAGTCGCGAGCTAGCGTCTTTGGAAGAAGACCTCACATGTTCCAAGATCCATTACGAGGTTGCTGCGATGGTGTCAGAAGCGGCGTGGACACGGTAGAGTCACCGCAGTAAGACCACATACGATGGTAGGTTGCTTAGAATTCGGTCCGTATCGCAGAGTCGGAGCGTCGAGAACGCGCGCATTGAAGGAATGGAGGGTCCGGTTAACAGTGATGCCGAACTGGCGGACATATTCAGATTCGCCGTGTGCGAGCACCTTGTCACATATGAGCACGATGTCCGCATCTGAGTGCGGATGGACGAACCGACAAACCTCTCCCTATACTCGCCAAGCGATCTGCCGGTCGTCGAGTCGAGAAGTCCAGGACGTCCTTGGTCTTCGTGGAGGGGAGCTGTTTGCGGATGATCTGACCTGCAGAAGATGTCAACAGCGGAAAGCACACGATAGCAAGGGAACGCACCGGGAATAACATGGCAGAGCTCGAGTGGGATCACAGCGCCCGAAGACAACTATTGATCTTTCAGTGAAAGCATCCGGCAGGACACAGAGTGTACTTACTTCGGCGCAAATGTTGTCAGGGTACGGCAGCGGTCGGTTCAACACACCCTATTTTGCGCGGATGAGTGTTTGGTAGAGATTGACTACGATGCTACGAACCTGAAAGTATGCAGCAACAGTCATGGAGCCGGTCTTGGTCTGAAACACGAGATCACGGGCGCCCTCCTTCGTGAACTTCTTGACAGTGTACGGCACGCGGCGAGCGCCTTCCGGGAGAGGCGTCCCGTAATCCTTGAAGACTCTAACGTTCTGGAAGAAACGCTGAAGCCGGATACGCTCGCGATCTGGCAAGCCGTGTTTAGGCGATAGGATGCGGGGATCATTTCGCTCGAGATACGCGAGGCAGAGGGAGCGTAGGTCGCCCTCTTTGTACATCGCACCGGTCGATACGTCGACGTTCGTGAACATGCGGCCTATACCCGGCCGAATGGATTGGAAGTACCCGCGCCAAAGTACGATCCCGGCGCCGATGTCACTGGTCTCCGTGTTGGTGAAGAAAGAACGGATGTTGAATGGCATCCGCAAAGAAGGCTCCATGCGTAGTGCAACGTTCAGTGCCTGCACTATTCTGTTAGCTCTGTAACTAGTTGACCAGCCAATGAAATGAAACGAACTGTTAGGGCGGTCTGGACGGTGCTGTCCATGGTCTGTTTCCCACCCAAAAACCGTAGCAATACCCTGATTGTAACAGTGGCGCGTCAACCTGGGACCATTATTGACCGAGAAAATACGCACTCAGGGTTTACCTCGGCCACTTTCTTGAGCGTCACCTTGTACGTTTTGGGACCTTTGTTGTCCCTTTGAGACTCGGGATGAATGGTAGGATTTGGGACAACATCAAACTGAACGCAGGAATGAGTATGTGGGCGCCAACCAGACAGTGCGTAGGTGCATACCGTAGCTGTATCGTCCTCGCCGAAGTCGTAGCGCTTTGTCGAGAATAGATTCTTGCGACCATCGTGGACACCGCGTGGAGTGAACACATCCGGCACGACCGTGTTTTGCAGTTTCTGCACGATCTCGAAGCATAACGCGATGGGCAGAACTTTTTCCGATGGTGAAATGGCTGGCGATGGGCGCACGTAAGTTCAGTATACCGCGCAAAGGAACATCAAAATGCCACTCACCGACTGTGGCAAACACGATACACATGTGAACATACATCTCATTAGTAGTATCGGAAGGTGCGCACCATCGTAGTGAAAGATCGTGGAGTCGGGGACCTGCGTCTCAAAGTGATTCGTGATCACTTTGACGACCCGTCCCGTGCCTCCATGGTTCGGGCGCTTAACGCCAATCGCTTCGACATGCGCGGCAACGGTGGCTTCAGTGCCTCTGGTCGTTCCACCACCGCCACCTCTCCCAGGAGGACCGCCGCGAGGAGGGCCACCGCGGGGAATGCCGGCGCGCGGAGGACCTGCTCCGCGAGGAGCTGCACCGACACCGCGAGGGCCACCGCGGCCCCCACCGCGTTGAGGGGGTCGAGGAGGCATACTAGGACGCTGATGATCGATAGGAAGTAGTGGTGGAAGGAGACAAATGCAAGAAGCCTCGATGCGGCTTGCTTTGTATGGATTCGCACACAGTCCTTTGTGGTGCCACGCTTCATGCTATGCAGTGCAAATTTTGCTGATCGTGGCGCAGGATGCGCACTCTGGAGACAGAAAGGTGCATTCGGGTTCGGAAGAACGCGTCGAGAACCGCGGGCACGTGTCGCGCCCACAGATCAACCAGCACATACGAGTCATGCCCTTGCGCCAGATTCACACCGGCCTGAGAAGTTATCGAGGTCCGTACCGACAAGCGTCGTTAGAAGCGGATACTGTTGAGCTGTAGCGGTGGTCAATCATGAGGTGACGACCTGCAACACTCAAGGACCTGTTTATAGAGTGTCAGCTGAAAGTCTGATTATGTTAGGAAGTTGTACATACCGCTGCGGTAGATCTGACATGGCGGTGACTACCCAAGAGATCCCGACACAGAAGCGGGCGGCGACGTGACACCGGACCGGAATGCTGAAGCCTGGAAGAGTGAATACGTTGAAGGTTGAACGTCGGAGGCCGAACTCTTCGCGGCCCAGCCCATCACGGGGAACTCAGGATAGAATGTGGAATTACAACACGGAAACACTGAGTATGCGCGGTATAGTATACAGAAAGCAATTCCGCATCAGAAAGACACAGAGACAAAGCGAGGGTCCAAAACAGGAAGCACGGTATGTGTAGGCAGGCGAGACGCAGGACGCAAGTCGGAGCAGATCATGCGTCTGCTATTCGTCGGAAGGCTCGTTCGATGGCGCGTACGAAGGAGGATAGGTTGCGCGACTTGTTGAGTTCGGCGAGGAGGGTGGGTAGTGTGGGTACGTTTGGTGAGATTGTGAGGACTAGTGCATGCCGTCAGTATATGTATCGTGTGAACACAACTTAGCAATGCTTACCTTGATAGTCCTTCGTCGAGACGTCGAGCACGAACGATGGCGATCCGCGAACGCAATGAAATTGAAACAGCAGCTGATGCTTCGCAACACCCTGGATCTTCAGTCCAATGGCATTCTCCAGCTCCTCGAGTTCATGCGCGACCCTCTGCGCCTGCTTCTGCAGCGTAGCCCTTTCCGCTTCCCTTTCCCTCCGCAAACTGCCGACAAGCGCGCGATACCTCGCAACCTCAGCCTGCTCCGCCGCAATAGTCTCTTCAAGCGCAGCGGTTCTTCGCGCATCCTCGGCTCTGCGCGCCTCGACCTCCTTCCTCTGCGCCTCTTCAACCTTCAACTCGTCCAACAATGCCAATTCGGCCAATTTCAGCGAACCCGTCTCCTTCTCCAGCGCCTGCGCGCGTTCTTGTAGTCGGCGCGTCTCGGCAGTGTGCGCGTCTGCGCGCCGGGCCATCTCGGCCGTCCCACGCGCGGCGAAGGCGGATACGGCGGAGAGAAAGTCTTTGTGGGCTGCGCGGAGAGAGGGGAGGTTTAGATCGATGTGGGGCGTAGATTGCGCGAGGAGTGCTGAGGCGTCGAACTGGGTTGGCTGCGCGGCCGCCGCGCGTTTGTGGCCTGCCATGATGGTCGGAGGAAGAGAGCTTTGGAGGGCTCGAGTTCATTTCGCGCCACTCCGTCTTGAACGCGGTCACGTGGCGGGTACACAATACGTGCGGAAGTCGTGGCAAGCACTTTCGGTGGAGGGTAAGTAGCGAGAACTTTCGCGTTTCTAAGCTAGCATCATGGCGTTGAAGGGGGATTATTGCCAGCACGTCGTACCTAAGCCAAAAAGACTACTGGCCGTGACATATGCTCCCTGCAAGGCTCGAACTTGCGACCTCAGGATTACACGGTGATAATACCGCTCATATTAGAAATATGAGACCTGCGCTCTAGCCAACTGAGCCAAGGAAGCTTGATGGGGGATTGTACTTGACGTTGATGGTTCCCACAAGGGAATGAGTTTCGCCGCGGTGACCACTCTACCTCCAACTTCTCTCTGACACTGATTGTCTTGACTGAAGAAGTCTCTATATGCGCCCTCGTACGCGATGCTTCGCCTAAGAACTGCTATATTGAGACCACCCATCTCCCTGCGCGCACCTTTACGGGCGTTCCGCGTCTCCGCCGCTGCACGGAACGCGGAAAACCTGAAACAAGCGGCGGCGGTGGAGGAAACGGAGGACGTGCGCGAGCTCGCGCGACTCCTCCGCACAGTCAGTGCGTACAGTTAGTACTATCACTAGTGTAATCAGTGCTCATGGCTATCGCGTAGAGCAACGCGCAGATCCTGCATCGAACTAGTACGCTAGTCTACGACTCAGAACGAGAGTGTGTGGCGCTGAACGCGTTGTTAGTGTCGTGCCGATGCGCGGTGCAATCCCCTGGGCACAGGCTCTACTCGAGACGTCGTCTTCACCTTCGTCTGAAGGCCATGAGACGCCTTCGCCGGATGATCTCCCTCCTAGAAGCATGCACGACTCGTACACCGAAGTGCTCCTTCCTTTCGCCTCTGATGCCGCGCTATTCGAGCAGTACACCAATGCGTCGGGCGGGATTAGGACCGGGAAGCTACTGGAGCATCTGGACTCTCTTGCAGGTGAAGTGCACGTCATGTCTCTTTTGAGGCATCTTCTGAACTTGTGATCTTCAAGGTAGCATCAGCTACAAACACATCCTCGGCCCAAATGTCCAAACCCTAGGCCGTATCGCCGAGCGCGGGTTCTACGTCGTAACAGCGGCCGTCGACAGACTCGACATGCTTGCGCCACTCAAACCCGTACGCGATCTCCGGCTCTCCGGACATGTTATCCATGTGGGAAGCAGTAGTATGGAGGTGGCGGTCAGGATGGACGCGCTGGGGAAGAATGGGGAGGAGACGTTGATGCTGGGACGGTTCGCGATGGTTGCGAGAGATGCGTTCACGCATAGGGCGCATCCGGTTAATAGACTTGTTGTAAAGACCGAGGAGGAACAGGCTCTCTATCGCATGGGCGAACGTGAGTCCAACGGTTAGTATTGTTATCGGGTGCTCTGATGCGATCTATGGGACAGTCAACAAGCAACGCCGTCAATCCCAAGCGCGCCGTTCGCTCCGCCTCGTACCGCCTTCAAGCACTGAAGCTGAAGCGCTACACTCCTTCGAGCTTCAGCATGCGCGTCATGACTGGTCGACCCGCCCGCACACCCAGAAGCGGGTATGGATGGAGCATACACGCGAGAGTCGGACGATGCTTATGTTCCCGCAAGAGCGCAAGTACGTTCTCTGGTCTTCATATGACTACTTCGGTGCTGAGCGTTTGACAGCGTACACCAGAAGATCTTCGGTGGCTATCTTATGCGGTTGGCGTATGAGCTCGGCTTTACTACGTCGCGTCTGTTCACTCGTCGGTAGGATATCCGTACAGCTCTCGTCGTACACCTTGCTGATGATCTGCCGCGCAGTCCCGTGAGCTTCTTGAGTCTTGACAAGATCTCTTTCGCGAAGCCTGTCCCGATCGGGAGTATCCTGCGCTTGAAGAGCGAGATCCTGTACACCGAGGACAACATCGTGGTACGCAACCATCCTCAGGCTCGCTCTCTAACTGGAGCTCATGTTACCCCTCCCTAGCACGTACGCGTCAAAGCAATGGTCGTCGAAGTAGAAACGGGCGCCGAACAAATGACGAACGACTTCCGCTTTACGTGGTCTGCTCAGCAGGACGCGTCGGAAGAAAAGGGCATTCCGTTAGTGGTGCCCAAGACCTATCGCGGTATGTTCTCTGTCCTATCGTTTTGCGGGGTATCAAGCTGATTGTGATGTGCAGAGGCGATGAAGTGGCTCGAGGGCCGCAGGGCGCTCGAGATCAGCGCTAACATCCGTCGGTTGAGGGCAGCTCCTTGAGCTGGCATGATCCTCGCATCGTGACCGGAGTCGTCACAACCTAGAGGAATGTATTCATCCTATACTCTTTGATCTCATCTATAGTCAATCCATCCGTGTAATCATAAAGTACAATGCTCATATACAGTGTCATTCCGTATCGGTCGTTATGTTCATCAAGCATTCCGAAGCTGCGCGTCGTAGTCCTCCTTCTCTTTCTCCTCGCGCTCGCCAACGACGCTCTCTTCGCTCTTGTCGTCCCTGTCGACACCGTAGGCTCTGGCGTAAGCGTCGTCGTATTGCGATGCGTATGTCTTCGCGTCGTCAAGATCGAGGATGGCCGCGTGGAGCATCGTTTCTTGAGCGGGGAAGAAGTAGGAGAGGAGGGTGTATACGCCTCCTGCGGTGAAGAGCTGGGGTAGGAGATCAACATATGAGACCGAATGAAAGCTCGAGAAATCGTACGCCAAAGAGGTACGCGACGTCAAAGACGTAGATAGCACCGCGGACAGGTATGCTCGGATTGATGCTGTGAATCAAGCCGGGCATGTTCGGCGGTACGGAGCATAAAAGCGCCGCCAATGCGCGCCAATTCTGACGATGACGTCAGGTGGGCGCCTCAAGCAAGAGACAGCAGGTTGTAGGCACTCACAACACCGCCAGTATAGCGATACCGACCGTGCGGATCGTACATGGCGACGACGTCAACCTTTCCGCGGTGGACGATCCAGTACTGGTAGGAGAGCCGTCAGTCAGGCCGGGTCCTCTGGAGGGCAAGGGAGGACATCACTCACGTCGGCGATCATGACGCCGGCGATAGGGCCAAGAAAGACTGTGTACCCGTTTATGAAGGTCAAGAAGCCCCTCGCGCTGCGCAGTGTCATCAGTACTGCGCTCGAAAGGGTAACACAGTGGACTCGTATGCACCTTGCGAGGATCTCCCAAGGTGCAAGCGCCCAGCCACCAATGATGACGCAGAGAATCTGACCGCGCCTGTGTCACATATCAGCATGGGTGAAGGAGAGAAACAACAGCACTACGAGGAGGTACCTGATGTTGATCCATCGCGGGGCTAGAGCCGTCATGTCGTTGCCTACGGAAAGCGTGTTGGCGGAGACGTTCGTGCCGAGAGTGGTGACTATGAAGGAGAAAGCGGCGAAGAAGGCCGCCGCGCGGTTATCCCATCTGTCGATGAGCTGTATACGGTGAGATGTCAGCTATACTCTGCGAAAGCACTCAGGGTTGTCTTGACAAGACACTAGACCACAGATATTGCACGAGGCTCATGGTGTTATCCGCAGAGAACACATTCGCGAAGAGTAGATAGCGCCAGTACCCAATCGTATCCTAGGCGGAAGTACGGATGGACGCGATCAAAGACGTATACGCTGCCGCTCACCTCCGGCGAAAATGCCCGCTGGAGTATGGCGCATGTGTACGAACAACAAAGAAAGGGCACGCATGGTTTCGGATGGCGAGCATCATTTGGGTGCACGTACCCTCAAAGGATCCCAAAGGGTCGCGCCGTACAGCACTTGCCCGGCTGATGTGACTGCGACGCCGATGAAGCTGAAGAAGGTGAAGAAAATGGGGATGATGATCAGCTGGACATATTGTGCACGTTCGTCAACTGCATATCGCTAAAACGGTTGTCAGCACTTGGCAGTCGGAGTCGTTCCGTGATGCGTACCGTAAAGTCTGGGATGTTGACGGCGAGCGTTGCATAGATGCCAAAGGCCGAGTTGAGTGCGGTCAGCCATGCCCACGACAGGGATGACCCGTGGAGGGTTGCATGATCGGCGATGAGACCCTCATGCGAGGAGGGAGGAACCTAAGGCAAGTTAGATTTGGGCATGTATAGAGCCATTCCATTATACGCGCCTTGACAAATGCCCAGATGAGCATCGCGATCCATGTTGGGGGCACGATGATTGACTTGAGCACGAATAGCCAACGTATCCGTTGCGGCGAGACGAACATGAGGGGGAACTGTGCGACTAGTGATCGGTGAGAGAACAACGGTGATTATGCTAACATGCGTACAACGATCATCCAATACAAAAAGTAGCACATTATTCCAGCGGTAGTTATGTGCGAGCTCTCAGGCAAGTGATTCGGAAGGTGTGCGAGAGACGGCCAGATCGCCTTGAGCATCTACACGCAGTTGTCAGCCATACATCATCATGAGAATGCAGTCAGACATGAAAGCGCACCTGATACACACATTCACTCCCCGTGAACGCCTGGATACCAAACCAGAACATACTCAAGATCACTCGGCTGATCACGGAAAAGTAGCTCAGCCAGAAGCCGAAACTGCTTCGGTTCAGGACCGGAAAGGGGATATGTAGACGCGCGCCGACCGTCCCGTTCAAGACCATAACACATGCGATGACGGTGTGTCCGACAGCAATGGCCGGTACGGCTTGCCGCCAGCTCAAGCCGAGAGCAAGCATGGACGAGGAGAGCTGCCACACGGCTGCGCTCGTCGCGTCCGATGTCCAGTATGCGATGTACGAGAAAGTCGTCCACTTGCGGCCTTCCGGCGGAACTGGGTCCATGTCCGCGTTCGTGTAGCCACGCAGGTGCGCCGGCGCAAGACTCGATGGCGCCGGCGTTAAACGCCAGGCGTCGGGCGATAGATACTTGCGTACCGTCGAGGAGGCCATAGCGGTAGGAGACAAGGACGGGCTCGAAGGCCAGGAGATAGTCGCAAATCTTATAACGCGCAGCTAATGAGAATCTGCAGACATGTACGTGCAGAAGCACTAGAAGCGCTATATCAGCGTGTTGGCTTTCCAGATGTTCGGGCGCATTTGGGGCGCATTGCTGGGCGTGAGGTTTATGAGGTAACGATTACAAGAAGCTGTAGTGGACCCCTGGACCTGTCTACTATCCAGCTTTCCGCTGCACGTCCTACAGAGTAGCTCTTGTGAATGCCTGTTGAAGATGAGGAAAACATGTAGGATTTGAGGACCAGAGGTAGCGACATGATGGTTCTGCGTAAAGACGAAGACGCCGCGGGTTATTAGTCTCGTTCAAAGTTGGATAACGAGGGGCCGTTATCCGCTCGATAAGAGCCGTTAACGAGCCCACCTCGTTATCCGCGCTGCTGGTGCACCGCCGGTGATGCCCGATCAGCGCCGCCGCGCCGGTAC